CATTTTTTGGCTGTCAATAATTTTGTTATTGCCTCCTTTGCAGGGTGTAAGTATTAGGCATAGGCATAATTTGCAGGTCTTTATTTTATTTTTATTTTTGGGGGGGTGGGTTATGACCCCCACTTTTACCTGATTTAAAAATTTACGATGTCTTAAGCACAACTGCTCAAAATGATGTGCAGGGTTTTGGATCCTCCCCCCAGTGGTAGACCTAAAGTTTTGTTTGGAGGGGGGGCCCATGAGCCTCAGTGCCCAGGGCCCTCTAGGGTTACTAATCCGGCCCTGGTCAGAGGCTCACTTTTCCACCCAAAACTGCAGTGGCTAACCTGCACTCTGATCTGGTGCTTTGGTCTAAATCCTGCCAGTGTGTCTCCATCATGGAGCTGACAGTCCCATGGGAGGAAGCCATTGATGAGGCATTTCAGAGGGAAAGGCTGTAGTACATAAACTTGGCTGCCGAATCAGAAGATAGGAAGGTTTATGTGCGTCCAGTAGAGGTTGCAGAGGTTTTGTTGTGGGTCCCATCATAAGTCTACTAAAGGAGGTTGGAATCAGAGTAAAGGCTCAACAGAAGACCATTAAAGAGCTTGCATCTGCTGCTGAAAGGAGCAGATGCAAACACCAGTGTTGTGCTGACTTAACTTCCAGTCCTAGGAAGTAAACTTTCATTCTTTCAGTTTCTGTACTGCCTATGCAGTGCACCGTGTGGAGGCAAAAGGACCAGTAGGGTAAAAGCTGTTTTTCAATTCATGGTTGCACTTCTGCCCCTTTCAAAGATTCAGGGATCACACCAGAGAACAAGCTGTTGTTTAAAATTTGCCAGAACCGATGGACCCACAGAGGGAAAACCCTCTTGAAAGAGTCGAGGAGGAACCTGAAGGTTTCACCTGACCAGTCTTCTCTAGTCAGGATAGAGTTAATGGTCTGAGGGATCACATGCAGTGGGTGTTATAGAATTTCTAATCGAAGTGACTTAATCTAAAACAAAAAGTGAAGAAAAACTTCACAACGAGCTGAAAAAACCTCAGAAAATGGAAGCTGAGGGACTCAAAGAGCTGAATCGATAGTATTGAAGAAAACCCTTGGATTGAGCTGATTTTCACAAATGAGGTCAGCAAAAATATTTAGATGTTTCTTTCTTTGTTCTTTCATTGTTTTTTTTTAAATCAACACCACAGGACTCTTAAAGTGCTAAATAAAGTCTGAAGTTTGTCCTTTTTCACGCTCGCTCCAGCCTGGTGTTTTATATCATGAGTTTGTTCATTTTGCCAGAGCTCAGATTTAGCTTTAGTAAATCTAAAATAACAAAAAAAGAGTGTCAAACCAGGAACTGAATGCTTCAGTATCATGGCACGCTGCATCAACTCTGTGTGAAAGAAACAGAGGAAACCTTTCAGCAGTGGCGGGGTTAGTTGCTCGACAGAGGTGAGCAGCAGCATCAGATGCATCAGATTTGACAGCACCATGAGCCAAAGTGATACCAAACAATACTGGTCTGTCAGGAAACAGTGCATCATGAATTTCTACATTTAAAACAGGGCAGAAAGAAATCAAACCATAAATGTCCAGAAATGAAGTTATTTGTAATAATGTGGAATGGCACAGGGAAAAAGTATTGAACACATGAAGAAAGGGAGGTGTAAAAAGGCATGGAAAGCCAAGACACCAGCTGAACTCTCTCAGTAATTAGAAAGCAAGCCTGCCCAGAACAAGACAGATTCCCGTTCTGTGACAGAACAAGATCCAGAGTGTGCCCACATTCATAGGACCAGATACAAATTGTACAAAATGAAAATGATCCATAAGGTCTGAAAAGTTCTTCACAAGAGGCATGCTGTGTCAACACATCACAGAAAACTTGGAAAAGAGACAGTTTTAGATTAGATCTTTAGGGTCTTTGTTACAAGCAAACTCTCACAAAGACAGTTTGCCCTTTTTTAATCTATGAGAAATAGCAACGATGACACAACCTGACAGAAAATTGGATTTTTGTTCCAATGAAGTGATTCTCAAATGGCTGTTAACTGGAACTGGAGCTCCATCTTGTGGTTATAAACAGAACTTCCACTTCTTATGACCTAAATAACTCCAGAAATGAAAATGTAAACAAGCTTTACAAGTTAAACCATGGGCATAAACAATCAGCCAGAAAAGAACAAGGTGATTAATATTTCTACATCTTTTGTGTTTTTATTCTGAATCCTTCATGCTGCCTTGTTGCAGGAAACATTTGTGATTTCACAACTATCACTTGGACATGATTCCTTAATGCATTTCTCAAGATACTACAAGGTACAGTGCACTTTCTTTAAGTACTTTTTATTATTTTAGATTGTTCAAATGAGACTTGTCATATTTGAAATGCATTGTTTTCTGAATAAACTGTTCTGTTGTTTGTTTTAAGTTTTCAGTGGGTTTAAATTTTAGAAAGATGTGTTGATTTAAAAAGTCAAATACTTCATGTCTGCTGCTGTGTCTGTGTTTGCTTGTTTGACTCTGTTAGCAAAATAATTCAAGAACCACTGAGCAGAATTTAGTGAAACTGTCAGAAACTAATCACTTGATGAGCATACAGCGGGTAAAATAAGTATTGAACACGTCACCATTTTTCTCAGTAAATATATTACTAGAGGTGCTAATGACATGAAATTTTCACCAGATGTTGGTAACAACCCAAGTGATCCATACATACAAAGAAATCAAACCATAAATGTCCAGAAATGAAGTTATTTGTAATAATGTGGAATGGCACAGGGAAAAAGTATTGAACACACTTACTGAAATTTATCTAATACTTTGTACAAAAGCCTTTGTTGTCAATGACAGCTTCAAGACGCCTCCTGTATGGAGAAACTAGTGGCATGCATTGCTCAGGTGTGATTTTGGCCCATTCTTCCACACAAACAGTCTTCAAATCTTGAAGGTTTCGTGGACCTCTTCTATGAACTCTGATCTTTAGTTCTTTCCATAGATTTTCTGTTGGATTCAGGTCAGGTGATTGGCTGGGCCATTCCAGCAGCTTTAGTTTCTTTCTCTGAAACCAACTGAGAGTTTCCTTGGCTTTGTGTTTGGGCTCATTGTCTTGCTGAAATGTCCAGCCACGTTTCATCTTCATCATCCTGGTAGATGGAAGCAGATTTTTATCAAGAATGTCTCTGTACATTTTTCCACTCATCCTTCCTTCAATTATTTGAAGTTTGCCAGTACCATATGCTGAAAAACAGCCCCACACCATGATGTTCCCACCTCCAAACTTCACTGTTGGTATGGTGTTTTTGGGCTGATGTGCAGTGCCATTTGACCTCCAAACATGATGTGTATTCTGGCATCCAAACAGTTCAATGTTGGTCTCATCTGACCAGACTATATTCTCCCAGTATTACACAGGCTTGTTTAAATGTTGTGCAGCAAACTTTAAAGGAGCTTCAACATGCTGTTTCTTCAGCAGTGGAGTCTTGCGTGGTGAGCGTGCATACAGGCCATGGTGGTTCAGTGCATTACTTATTGTTTTCTTTGAAACAAACGTACCTGCTAATTCCAGGTCTTTCTGAAGCTCTCCACAAGTGGTCCTTGGCTCTTGGACAACTCTTCTGATCATTCTTTTCACTCCTCTGTCAGAAATCTTGTGAGGAGCACCTGGTCGTGGTCGGTTTATGGTGAAATGATGTTCTTTCCACTTCTGAATTATGGCCCCAACAGTGCTCACTGGAACCTTCAGAAGTTTAGACATTCTTCTGTAACCGATGCCATCATTATGCTTTGCAACAATAAGGTTGTGAAGGTCTTGACAGAGCTCTTTACTTTTACCCATCATCAGATGGTTCTTGTGTGATACCTGGCCATCATTTGGGACTGAACCAGCTGATATTAATTTGCACTGACAAGGGGCAGACTTGCTTTCTAATTACTGAGAGAGTTCAGCTGGTGTCTTGGCTTTCCATGCCTTTTTACACCTCCCTTTCTTCATGTGTTCAATACTTTTTCCCTGTGCCATTCCACATTATTACAAATAACTTCATTTCTGGACATTTATGGTTTATTTCTTTGTATGTATGGATCACTTGGGTTGTTACCAACATCTGGTGAAAATTTCATGTCATTAGCACCTCTAGTAATATATTTACTGAGAAAAATGGTGACGTGTTCAATGCTTATTTTACCCGCTGTATACAGCTAATTAACTTTTAGAGTCAACCTGATTCAAGATGGCTGCCACAGCTAATGGATTTTAGACAACACTAAAATTATAAGTCAATTGGTTTAACAAATGTTCAAGTAAAAATAAGTGTGGTAGTAGCTGAGAGTCATCCCAACAACATTGAGTGCTAACAGATAGCTGCAGATCTGTATTTAAAAATTTGGCCTACAAAAAGTAGCAGATAAGGAATGCTGCTTTATTTTTTACAGTAAGAAACTGTTGAATTATATCAACAACTCAGCTCAGATTTTATTTTGGAAAGCTGAGCAGGAAGTTTTGTTTGGATATATTGGCCTATTTATTATATATGATGCATTTCTGCTGCTAAAAATGGGATTCACTGTTTCCTGCTTTCACACGCTCTTCCTAAATTTAGTTCCCGACTTGAAGTCCATGCCTGCTTTCTGTTCATTGAAACACACTTAGTCTAAACAGTACAGTATCTGCCAGTGTTTAAGCTGTGCTATGTAATCATTCCAACACCAGGCAGCATTACACTTTGAGGATAATTCACTATTGCAACATAAAATACCAATAAAAGTCATTTCTAAATTTGTTTGTGTAGAAAAATTAACAGAAAAGCAGGATAGCTGATTTCATGATTTAGTCATTTTAAAAAGGCAAAAAAAAATCATAGCCAAAAATAAAAGTCCACCCCCTTTGCCCTGCTTTTTGTCTATCAGAATAAATTGCAGTCATTGTAGCCCCGCCCCTTATTCACGCCTCCTGTCCTCGAGCAGCTATTCGCCCCGCCCCCTTCACCCCACCCCCTGTAGTAGGTTTAAAAGTGTCAGTGAGGCTCACTGACAGGACTTCCCTCACAGAGATCTCATTAAGGTTTCACTGTGAGAAACAGCACATTTTGATCTCTCCTTCTCCAAACAAAGGACAATCACAACAAGAAAATGGTGAGTTCTAACGTCTGATTGCTATTTAACCCCTTTTGTAACAACTTTTTCTTCAAGCTGCACCTAAAAAAGAGCAAAAAATTGCAGCATTTCTGCTGCTGAAAAGTGATTCACTGTTTCCTGCTTTCACGCTTCCTGCCTAAATTTAGTTCCCGCTTTGAGCTTGTGTGTAATGAAGCGTCTGACTGCAGATAAACAACTGAAAGGATTGTGTTTAAAGCATCCACCAGAGGAAAAATGCCAACAGGCAGCAAAGGTTAACAGTTTCCATATGAGGACTGGTGGACTACTGGGAATGCTGATGTGGCTTCCAAGACCCACTCATGTAGTTCATAGGCCTGTGCTGAAACTGTACAGATTATTCTGCTTTTTTTTTTTTTTTTTTTTGTTGACAGGAAACCAGCTGAAGAAACTCCTAAAAGTTTGAACATTGCAACAGTGGTGCAAACAGTGAGAGTGTTGTAATGTTTGAAGCGCTGTCACTGTTCCTGGCTAGGTCTAACCACAAAATAAAGGGTTACAGCTGAAACCAGAGGAATCACATTTTCTGCTCAAATACAGTGTGAACACTGAACACAGAATGCCTGCTGAAAATGGCTGAAGGCGCTGAAACTGACTTGTTTTCAGCTATGAAACAGAATTGAAAGAATCAAAACACCAGCTAAAAGCTAAAAAAGCAGATGGTATGCTAAAAGAATCAGAATAAATGCTAAACCAAGTAAATGCTGGTGTCTTTTAAGTATCCTTATTTTGAACAGAAGGGTATACTTTCAGTTTGTATTTATGTATTTGTACTTAAACTTTATGTTGCCTATACTTGACTTATAATACAATAAAAGTGTGCCTAAGTACATGTCATTATGTACACATAATGATAATGACATGTACTTAAGGTATACTTGGGTAAAGGGGAATCCAAATATTAATCATGCACTAAAAGTAGCAAAAAGCTAATGAAACAGCGAAAGTAGCAGAACACTAGCTAAAAAAAAGTGAAGGACTAGCTCAAAGTTTGAAAACATTAGCTAAAAGTTAAACAGGAAAAGACTGAAGTAGCAATTAAGACTGGCCAAAAGCAAAATATAGCAAAATAAGTAAAAGTAGCTGGGGTAGCTAAAAGGCTTGCTTAAAGAGTTTATTTGTGGAACTGTAGCTAAAAGTAGCTAACAGGTAGCTAAAAGCAGCAGAGCAGTCACCAAAAACTAAAAGTACCATTAAGCAACATAACGGGGCAAAAATACCAAAGTAGAATTTAAAAGTGATCTGTTGTCTGTATTTTTCTGCAGAATATATTTCTAAGTAAAGCCAAATATTTTTAGAAATCAAAAAAAAAATTCTAAACTCATTTCCTAAGATGTTTTGATATAGCACAAAAGCATCTGGAAGTAGTTCGACTGCAAAAACATCCAAAAACTGACTCGGACTCTTGATGTTGCAACGAACTTTGGAAAACATCAATGTCCCTCCGATTTTTAACTCCCCCTCTGAGCAGCACAGCGCTCCTCTGCCATGTTAACAAACACGACCTGGTTTCAGTCGGGACCAGATACAGAAGCAAACGGTGACTCAGTTTTTTAACCTGTTTGTGTAAAATATGTCAGCCTGAACCAGTGTGGCATGTTGCAACAACCCAATGGACTGCCACACCCACAATCCTCAAATCTTCACGGTGAATCTCTGACAGAGAGAGAAGACTTGTTGTTTAGCTTTAAACTGGCTAACAGAGTCCAAATTGTTCAGGGGGGCAAAGCTGGGTCGAATGTGACCCTCGTCTCAAAATAACTGGTTGCTATTTCCATACTTAGCAGCTCTGCTGTCACTCAGACCCCTCTGATGTTGTCACAAGCCTTCACAGAGTTTCTCTTTTTTCTTTCATACTTTCATGTGTTTTATAAAGCTAAAACATGCTGCAAGTCCCATTTAAAGTTAAGCTACACTGTTTGTGTTTCTGTAACTGGAATAAAAAATAAAGTTTTATTGAAGCTACGACAGGATCACAAGGCACATTGTTTCATGTGAGGTCAGAGTTAATCTGTAAACTCAGATGGTATTGATTAAAGATAAAGAAGTTTGGTGGGCTTAAACATGTTTTGTTTTTCCTGATATGGATGGTATTTTCTTATCAACATGCTCCATTTGCTTTTTAAAAGCTTAAACTGGTTTACAAGAAATGACCTGAGATCAGGAAAAAAAAAATCCAAATAATGGATTAGTATTCTTTAAAGGAAAGCATTTCACTGCCCTAACATTCATGAAAGAATTTTGAGTTCAAGATGGTTGCTGAAGCCATCTGATCTATAACACATCCAAGATTAGGTTGTGGGTTTGCTGGGGTTAGTAGAAGGGCTGGGATTATGTTGTTGTTTTGCTAGGATAAGCTAGTAGATTTGCAAGAATTAGCTTGGAGGTTTTGCTAGGATTAGCATGTGGGTCATACCCATGTTTCCCACTATGTTCCACAGATATTCCCTCCTGTACACCCATCCCTATAGTACTTATGTATCCCAGTACCTATTAGGTGTACACTGACTGCAGTTTTCTGGCTGATCATGATCTTTAAAAAGTATGACAGGCTAATTTGATTTTAAAATTTAAAATCACTGAAACTGTCAGATGTTATGAGTTCACATTACACCTTCAATGTTCCAATCTTATTTTATTGGAAAACATTGAACAATACCCTTAAAATGCTTGTTGTAACCGGACAAAGTGCTCTCAGCAGAGCAAAAGGGGCCAGTGGCAGATTTTCAGACCTTTGCAGAGGTAGATGAAAAGCCAATCTTTTCCACCGATCTTATCTACAGTAAGTATCTCTGAGCTCCAAAAATTAGGGAAATCGGTGCCAATAAATTGGACAACCTATTTATCTGTGCACCCCTACCTACAGCGGGTAAAATAAGTATTGAACACATCAACATTTTTCTCAGTAAATATATTACTAGAGGTGCTAATGACGTGAAATTTTCACCAGATGTTGGTAACAACCCAAGTGATCCATACATACAAAGAAATCAAACCATAAATGTCCAGAAATGAAGTTATTTGTAATAATGTGGAATGGCACAGGGAAAAAGTATTGAACACACTTACTGAAATTTATCTAATACTTTGTACAAAAGCCTTTGTTGTCAATGACAGCTTCAAGACGCCTCCTGTAGGGAGAAACTAGTGGCATGCATTGCTCAGGTGTGATTTTGGCCCATTCTTCCACACAAACAGTCTTCAAATCTTGAAGGTTTCGTGGACCTCTTCTATGAACTCTGATCTTTAGTTCTTTCCATAGATTTTCTGTTGGATTCAGGTCAGGTGATTGGCTGGGCCATTCCAGCAGCTTTAGTTTCTTTCTCTGAAACCAACTGAGAGTTTCCTTGGCTTTGTGTTTGGGCTCATTGTCTTGTTGAAATGTCCAGCCACGTTTCATCTTCATCATCCTGGTAGATGGAAGCAGATTTTTATCAATAACGTCTCTGTACATTTTTCCATTCATCCTTCCTTCAATTATTTGAAGTTTKCCAGTACCATATGCTGAAAAACAGCCCCACACCATGATGTTCCCACCTCCAAACTTCACTGTTGGTATGGTGTTTTTGGCCTGATGTGCAGTGCCATTTGACCTCCAAACATGATGTGTATTCTGGCATCCAAACAGTTCAATGTTGGTCTCATCTGACCAGACTATATTCTCCCAGTATTACACAGGCCTGTCTAAATGTTGTGTCATTAGCACCTCTAATAATATATTTACTGAGAAAAATGGTGACGTGTTCAATACTTATTTTCCCCGCTGTATGTTCCCTAAAGATCTGGTAGACTCTGGTACACCCAGCTATGTTTCCCTATGTTCCTTGGTACGTACATTCCTAAGAAGGTTCCCAAGACATCCCTATGTTCTCTGGTACTGTCGGATATGTTTTTTTATTATTTTTTTAAAGATATTTGAAGGGGGAGTCAAGCATCTTTCATTATTAACACCAGGAAAATGTTTATCTTTCTTGAGACAAAATTGCAACTGAGTCATTCACAGGTAAGGGGTGCAAAAGGAAAAGTTCGTATTTCAAAATAATGACCTTGAAAATTCAGTCAGCTGTATTACGTGAACACATTTCTTTATATTTTTATAAGAAAAGTATTTCTTTTCCCCTTTTGTTTGGCTCAGTACCAAGTGATTGATGGACCGGTACTAACACCTGCATCAAAGTTATTTAAGCAAAATTAATAGTTGCACCTTTAAACTCCCTCAGGACAAACTTGCTTCTAAAATATTCAGAGCAGACTCGTTTCACGAATGCAACCCTCCTTCCTCCACTCTCACCCACATCTTTACAACCAAAATGAAATACTTGAGCAGGGCGTGGAGGCACTTTGGTCTCTGCAAACACACTGACGAGTTTGTGATAATCAACGTTTTTCTAGATCACTGTCGCTTGCTTTGACTCTCACTTCATATTTGCAAGGATGACCGAAAGGTTTGTTGCAGATACAGATTCACTTGTTGATTCTCTCCAGTTTGTTTTTGTTTGTTTTGAATTGGTTTGGAGGTTGATCTTTTTTTTTTACATTAAACTGTAATTTTTCTACAAGTTAGGAAAATCTAGCCTAAATAGGGTTGCAAATTTGAAAGGAAATGATTCCTCTGTCATCCACAGCGCGAGTGCATCTCCATCCATGTTGGCCAGGCTGGGGTCCAGATGGGCAACACATGCTGGGAGCTGTACTGTCTGGAGCATGGCATCCAGCCTGATGGCCACATGCCCAGCAATAAGCCCAGTGGAGGCTACGATGACTCCTTCACCACCTTCTTCAGTGAAACCGGAACAGGAAAATATGTCCCCAGAGCCATCTTTGTGGACCTGGAGCCAACTGTCATTGGTAAGGACTTGGAGCGCTTTACTTTATATTGGGATTTAAACCAGATTATCTGATACTAGATTTCTATGCAAGTTTTATTTAGTTTATACATACAAAAATTAGTATTTTCTGTTGACATTTACACAATGACAACTTCTAGTGTTGTGTCAAAATACTTGAACCAGCTCAAAGAAGCAAAACACTAGCCAAAAGCTAAAATGATCAAAACACTAGCTAAAATAATAAAAATGAAAGAAGCAAAAGCCAAAAGTAGCAAAATGCTATCTAAAGTAGCATTTGGCAAGTTGAAAGCCGTAAAAATTGTAGCTTAAAATAAAAGGCTAACAGAAACAAGCTGGTTGGAACAAAAAAAAAGTTGCAGAATCTAAAGCCTAGCTAAAACCCAAGATGATTTACAGCCTAGTAAATGGATAGCTAAAATATTCAAATTAAAGGCTAAAAGTTGTAAAAGAGTAAGTATTGAAGCAGATTTCAAAGACACAATAGTTTTGAAGGAACTAAAGTGATTACAACGTCTTCAAAATATTTGTAAAGTTCAATATTTTTCAAAGTGTAGGTTACAGAAATTTTAAAACAAAACCTGAATCTGTATTTACGCAGTAAGGGGTTAGGGTCAGGGTCAAACAGGTGGTTTCATCCTGAGCTGAAAGCTCTTCGTGATGTCAGATGTCACATTAAACATTTTAGTGTCAACACATCTTATTGGCACAGCAAAGTAAAGCAGAGGTAATGTGACTCTTTAATATGAGTTTTTCTTGATGGGAAGCACATCACCTGTCATCTTTCTTCATGAAGTTTGAAACAAACTCTTGTTTGTACTTGCTCGGCGTGTGTTGACGATCCCTCGCACACCCAGCTTTAGATCAATATCTGCCAAGTTGGTTGAGTGATAGCCAATTTTTGTGTTGTTGTACGACTAAACCAAGTAGATTCCAAAAGTTGTACAGTAGGACGCACATTGAACAATTACATTCTCATATTGTTATTTCAAACTCATACATTTGGGTCAGTTTAAGGTCTGGAAGACTTTTGATATTTTGGCATGTATTTTATCAATTCAGTTTTTAGAGTAAAACAGTAAAATTTACCATCAAACCTTGTTGGTCATTTAGATGAGGTCCGAACCGGAACCTACCGTCAGCTTTTCCACCCGGAGCAGCTGATTTCTGGAAAGGAGGATGCAGCCAACAATTACGCTCGAGGCCACTACACTGTTGGAAAGGAGCACATCGATTCTGTCCTCGACAGAATCCGCAAACTGGTAAGAAGACGGCAAGATGTATGAGACGCACTTAGTCAAATTGATTTTGGTCCCATTTCCTGAGGTTAGCACTTCTGGATTTTAAGTGTCTATTTTGGGGCTTGTTTTGAGGTCACAAGGAGTACTGATTACAAATTGGGGAGCCCCTTCAAAAAAGCATTTAAGTAAATAGTTTTTTCATCTAAATATGCCATGTAACATTATTCTTATTTTTTGCTTCAGACATCAACATTCAGTGCTAGTTTTCATGAATATTAAAGAACATCAACAATAATACCAAACACAACATCAAACAACAAACAAAATCTAGGGTAAGGGATAGGGGCACTCTAAACTTAACTATCAGGACGTAGGGCTAGAATGATATTTTTGGTTTCTGCAGTGGTCTTGGATTATAAATTGTACCTCTTTTGTCCAGTCTGACCAGTGCACAGGGCTTCAAGGCTTTCTGGTCTTCCACTCCTTTGGAGGAGGAACTGGCTCCGGCTTCACCTCTTTGCTCATGGAACGCCTATCGGTAGACTTTGGCAAGAAGTCTAAGCTGGAGTTTGCCATTTATCCAGCTCCTCAGGTGTCTACGGCTGTGGTGGAGCCCTACAACTCCATCCTGACCACACACACCACGCTGGAGCACTCCGACTGCGCCTTCATGGTGGACAACGAGGCCATCTATGACATCTGCCGCAGGAACCTGGACATCGAGCGCCCGTCTTACACCAATCTGAATCGCCTTATAAGTCAGATTGTCTCCTCCATAACAGCCTCTCTGCGCTTTGACGGAGCCTTGAACGTGGACCTGACAGAGTTCCAAACGAACCTTGTGCCTTACCCTCGTATCCACTTTCCTCTGGCCACCTATGCCCCTGTTATCTCTGCGGAGAAGGCCTATCACGAGCAGCTGACTGTGGCAGAGATAACCAACTCCTGCTTTGAGCCGGCCAATCAGATGGTCAAGTGTGACCCCCGCCACGGAAAGTACATGGCCTGCTGCCTGCTGTATCGTGGCGACGTGGTGCCCAAAGACGTCAACGTGGCTATTGGCAACATCAAGACCAAACGCAGCATCCAGTTCGTGGACTGGTGTCCAACTGGATTCAAGGTGGGCATCAACTACCAGCCCCCCACTGTGGTTCCTGGAGGAGATCTGGCTAAGGTGCAGAGGGCCGTGTGCATGCTGAGCAACACCACCGCCATCGCAGAGGCCTGGGCCCGCCTGGACCACAAGTTCGACCTGATGTACGCCAAGAGGGCCTTCGTCCACTGGTATGTTGGTGAAGGGATGGAGGAGGGGGAGTTCTCCGAGGCCAGAGAGGACATGGCCGCCCTGGAGAAGGATTACGAAGAGGTTGGCATCGACTCACTGGAGGAGGATGAGGAGGGTGAGGAGTATTAAAACATCTGAAGGCTTCTGAGGACAGATGTGCATTTTAAAGGGCGGTGTGGCAGTTTTAACAAGCTTACCTAATGATTTATGCTTTTATTAAAATTTTATTTTTGATCGCATTAAACAATTCTTAAAAGGACAGATGTCCGAATTCTCTCTTTTTTTTTTTTTTTAATAAAACTGTTTCCCCCCCATACTTGTGTGAATCAAATTTGTAATGAAACTTTTATTCTGTAATGATTTGAGCTAAAATTTGTAACAGCTAAATTATTTTTCACAGTTTTTGTAAATTTAGAACTGAACAGAGTATTACAGAAAATTAACAAAGAACCTTTTGATGCTCGAAACCAGATGAAGCAAAAAAAAAGTAACAATTATATTCAAATACATAAAATAATGTTTATAGGAGAAAATTCTTTAAAGCTCAAATTTGACTTTTTCTGTTTGTGATAGACTTCCACGAGATGGCAGTGTGGTATTACTTTGCAAAAGAGTCTATTAAAAAAAAAGTACTTTAAATGTAAGTAGGGATGCTTTATTCTTGATTTTCCATTTATAACTGCTGCCAAAACATTTATAATTTAACCAAAAACAGCTAAATGTTGATGTAAATGCTACATTATACTGTGTTTTTAACAATGCATAAAGCATCAGATAGTAATGCAGTCATGCAACTACACTTGCTTCTTGTGCTTCCTCCTGCCTTTCACCTTTCTTTTCTTAAGCAAAGTTTCGTTCATCCAGAGTAACTTTTCTTTTTGTCTTATAAATTTAATGCTGGGTCACTGGAGACAAACTTGTTTCCCGGTTCAGTTCTTAAATCTCAGTTTTTTGAAGTTCCTGCAGCTGCTTTTCCCTCCTCGGTGGAGAAGGCCTTCATATTGGTTCTGTAATTGCTTTGACGTAATTAAGGCTCAGTTCAAGCAGGCGCGTCTCACCAGTGTTGGACAAGGGATTTAGAAAAGGTCACCGAGCACAGAAAGGAATAGGAAATGTTCTTTTCTTTGGTGCAGCTACAGTCCAGTTTTACAGTTAGCTTTCTGTTTATGGACATTTGTTTCTGTAAAATAAAACAAAAGCCAAGCATCTGTCATGACTTTTACTATTGACAACATGTATCGGGGAACATCGGTTACGTGAAAAACTTTTGATAAATATTAACACATTTTTGGAAAGATTGCTTAGTTATGTCTTGCAAAAAAATAAATAAATACATTTAACTCACTCTGAGATAAACAATTGCTGAGCTATTCGCAGGTGCAGTATATAAGTGACAAAGGTGATGGCCTGCCTGTAAACAGCACTGCTACAGTGGCTAACAACACAGACTGTAGTGGAGAATCTGATGTTTCTTTATATTATTGAGTAATTATCAAAGAGACACAAAGAACAGTCAGAGTTCAAATATTTTTGTTTACATAAACAAATCCCAAGGAATATCCCCTTTTAAAGAGTTCCCCAATGTCGTCACTTCCTGATTTGTTTAAGTGGCAGTTAAAGGACAAAACGATTGAATACTGTGCTTTAAGCAGGGGTGCAACGATACAGAGAATTCACGATTCGGTTCGGTTTGATACGATACTTTAGTCTCACGGTTTGATATTTTTTTTTGATACAAAAAAAAATAAAAATTTCCATGCCCTTCTTAACTTGCAATTTATTGAAATTAATTACGAACATTTGTTTACCCTCAAAAGTCGAGTTTTTAAATTAAATGTGTGCTCGAGACAATGCAGCCTAGGTGGAGTAGTCGAACACAGACACACTGATCCTTCAACGCAGCATCTTCAGAAGACGAGCTGATAAAATAAATGGTAAAACTCTGTATTGTTCCATACATAGTGTGTATTGGACCTAAAGCACTGTATTGAATGGTTCAATACAGATACATGTATTGTTGCACCCCTAGTATTAAGCCAAAATATCAGATAAACCACCAGTCAGATGTGAGAACATTCTCAAAAAATATAATTAAATAAAACTCATTGTACAACTATAATTATTAGCCTTTGAATTAAATCCCGTTCCTTATGGTTGACAGAAATAATAGTCATTAGCAAAAACTACCAAGTTAAAGGCTTTTTTTGTTTAGTTTTAGAGCTAAAATTTGGTGTGGTAGTAGCTGAGAGTCACTCACAACATATAGGCTGAGTGTTAACAGGGCACATAGAACTTTGCTTTTAACTCCAGTTCTAAACCAAAGTCCTTACAAATATCCACTGTTTTGTAACCTTGTGACCATTTAAACTAGATTAGGGTAGACTAACATCTTTTCTTTGAAAGGAATTCAGGCATATTTTGTGAAGGTGGTCTTGATAAAGAGTGGGAATACCCTGAAGGCAGTTTAAATTAGAACGTGAAATTAATTGATGCAAAAACACGAGAACGCGGCGAGCTGCGCAGCCAGGTGACTGGAGTGAATCAAAGCAATAACCTCAATGAGAATCCCTTCATCAGTCTTTAATAGGAAAACAGCAGAACAAAGAAAAACAGCAAGCTGATCTAAAATCCACAGGACTTAGAAAAAAAAACAGACAAAGGAAGAGGCGACGCCTCGAGACGAGCAGGTATGGCTTCTGAGGGCGTTGCATCAGCAGCTGCTCGCTCCATCTTGGACTCAGGTTTTTGAATCTGGGGGCCGGCTGAGGCAGTTGTCATGGCGACCGCCTGCTTGCCATGCACAGGGGGGGGGGGATTTATCACCATGATGGATTGATGTAACAGCAGCGCTGTTTGTTTGTTTTTGTTTATTTCCTGGTGTGTGTCTTTTAAATGGATCTCCAGCAACTGAGTGCCTGTGGTTGAGGACACTCATCCTGTGATTAATGACACTTCTGTGACCGTAACCACAGAGAGGAGTGCACTCAGCTGATGTCACGCCAATAACACTTAACGGTGCCTTTTGTTGCACAGCTTCAGGGCCAACACTTGAACCTGGGAGTTTTTACAGGGGGAGATAAGCAGCTGGAAATGCACAAACACAAAACACTGTTATGATTTCTGACATCTGAGGCATTAAAGGGACATTAGGTGACTTTAAAACCATAAAAAAGCTTGCAACCTTCTTTAAAAAAAAGAACATTTTTACATGATTGCAAAAAATACAGATTAGACTGTCACCTGAAACAAATAATAATAAAAAAAAAAAATACCACAACGGAATAATAACAAATAAATCTGAACCAAAATACAAACTTTCAATAAATAAAACACTTAATTCTTAATTACTATACATTTAGTTTGGCATTAGTGCTGAAACCTACTGAGCAGTAAAATACAACACTGACCACTCTGAGGTTTTTATCTCTGTGAAATCATGACCAGGGGAAGTACGGGCGTGGAGGGTGCCGCAGCCCTTGATGGAGACTAATTTTCCTAGTACTGCGTTTGCATGGATTCTTTTGATTTTATTGAGTTTTGTTATTCTGATAAATAAACCAGCTGTGATGGTATACGTGTGGAAACTTTTACAGCCACTTAAAATCCAATTAGAATCAGGTCATGGTAACTTTATAAATGCAGTTTGTCCAAAATGCACAACATGAATTTTAATGTCCATTTTTTATATTTTTATTTGAGTATATTGATTCTCTTTACATGGGTGTTAATGGAAGTGTATAAAATTAAAATATTTCATACTTTCAGCTTTGAAAAATAGATCGAAAGGTTCACTCTCACCTCATTGTGGTCAGAAATAGCAGGCTTTATACAGGTTCCTCCAACCTTTGCATTCAAAACTGACATTTGTTCCCTCAATAAATAAAATGCCCTAAAAGCTGCAGAATGTGATACAACTGTGATTGGCCCGAGGTCCACTTCAACTTCTTTCACAGGTGGCTTTAGACAGTGGGGATGACATTATAAAACTAAAAATATGTAATGAATTGTCACATTTGTTGATATTTTTACATTTTAAGACAAAAGAAAAGACCATATTCATGTACAGGAGAAAAAAAAGAGTTTATACCAATTTCAGTAAAAATTAAACCACTAAATGATGCAGAACTCAAAATGTGAATCCTCATTTTATTTGTGGAAAAATGAATTAAGTATCCCACTTTAAAGTAATAAAGCATATAGTCAGCATGAGTACAGCAATTAGAAAAGTTAGTTGAATGTGTAATTGTGACTTATTAATTTCAAAAATGAAAATAAATATTTATTTACTTTGACTTTAGTGACCCACCTTGTTTCTTCTCAGTATCTTGTCTTAAAGGAATTCCATAATATTTCTGGTGGATCTGATAAGGTTGGATTTCAGATTAATGAAGTGGTTAATAAACAGTCAACATGTTTCACTTCCTGCTATTATTATCATTCACATATCTGCAAAACAATGACTGCAAAAGTAAGAAAACTAGCCTTTCCAATAATAACCAATAAAATTCATCTTGATGTTATAGTTTTGGTGCTGCTGCAGAGGGGTCAAAGAGCCGTATGTGGCCCCAGAGCCACAGCTTGCAGACCCTTGATATAGTGCATAAGGAACAGCACTACAGCTTCCTACATTTCAAATACCACTTTAATGCCTAAATAAATGTTAGAAATGCCTGAATCTGATGTGTAGAACTTTGATAATTTGTGTTTGCCTCCAAACACAATTTGTGCCAATTTGTGTTTGTTGGGTCATTTTACACAGACTGCGACTGTAACTACACAAGAACCCTCAGTGTACAAAAACTATCAATTATCACCTACAAAATATTCTGTACAGAATAAGTGATTTATAAAGTTGTTGTATGGAGTAAAAACAAGCCACATAACTTCATAATGGTTGAAACGTAGCTTTGTACACATTTTTAATATTTCACATTTTGACTTAAATGTTTTAGTTGTAGGATTTGTTCACGTTTTCATTATTTCTCAGCTCAGACAGAAGAGTCATGTTTCATTAAAGATGTCAAGATAAGTTTCATCAAGTCTGAAAATAACAATTTGCCACAGATTTTGCATTTTCCTTAGCATGAGCTTGCTTTATGGCAGCAGTGTCAAATGTATTTTCACAGAGGGTCACGAGCGTTATAGTGGCCCTCAAAGGGCTAACTGTGATTACCTTTCATGTTTAATTCTGAGTAAATATGAAATGTTCCTCGGCTCATTGCTACAGCCGGGCGCTGCTAACAAACAACTGAGCTCTGTGGGATGTTTCCTGCGAAGAAACATCATTTTAACATGTCCTCTTATAAACACAACATGTAAAATAAATAAAACAAAAATAATATTAAAAGTAAAAATAAGAAGGTTTTACTCACTTTTGAGTTGTGGTAAGTCTTGAATTCTGAACTCTTTTGACATGGAATTCCCGTGCATGACCAGCATGCATTCTGGGAGATGTTTTTAAGGTCAATGCTGGCTTTAAAGTGTATCTTACCCCCCTGTGAAATGATAACTCCACCCCAAGGCGAAATTTGAAAAATGCATCAAAGTGGGTAGGGGAGGGGGGGAGGGTTAGAGAGCGGAGGTGTGGCCAGGACGAGAGAACGTGACAGCTAGCATTAGCGTAACTGATGCTACATGGAGAGTGACCACAGCGACGCAGATAGTTACATCTCTGAACGTCTGAGGTGGAGGATTTTTCACCCCCCTCCTCACCAGAGGCAGAGAGAGACTTGATCAAGTCAGCTCAGTCTGGGACTGACTCATGTTGGCTCCCTGGGTCAGGACCTTGAGCTCCAGCTCCAGCAGCCTCGGCTTAGCTGTCCGCCTCACACCACACCAGCCTCGGACAGAGGAGGTGGAGCGCTCCACGACAGCCTGACAGAAAAAAATAAAAGCATACAGCTGCAGCTGCTCACAAGATCGCTAGTTTAAATCAGGAATAAAAGTGTTGGGTCTTGTTTGACTGAAGTTCGGTCTGGTTCGGGCTGTTTCTTCATTTCACAATGACAAGATGACCAAGGACATGCAGCTGCCCCGCTGCGCTGCGCTCTTTCTGCCTTTTTTTTGCCCTCCTTCCCCCTTCCCTCCCGCTGTGCAGGACGTACAGTGGGCTGGTGTGTATATGTGTTCGTGTGGGGGGGCAGAAGCAGCCAGCTCCTCCCCCCACCCGAGGCTGAAGGTCAACAGACGATCATGCTAAGCTTGCTAACTGTTCCACCCTCTGACTGCTGCAGGGGCGTGTCTTAGAGAGAGGCTTTTATACCAGAACACAGCCGCTGTGACGAAACTGTGGAGAAGACACGTCACCGTGGAGAGCCGTTAACCAATATGCAAATTAGCCTGCAGTACCACTGCTCTACCCATATGAGCAGCAAAAACATGTTTTTAGACCAAATATTACAGATTTGAACAAATACGCACAAAAACATCAAAATTAACACAGAAACAGTACTATATAACATTTTAGACACATTCTAGRMAGTTTATCAGCTAAAAAAGTTAATTTTGGTGTAAGTTACTCTTTAAAGCAGCTTATTCTGAGACAGTAATACAACTGAACTGCTCAGAGAACCACAGTCATTCAAAGCCAACAGTTCAGGGGCAGGATAAATATTCATATCCTTCACTTTTAAACTTAGTTAATTGTGTTGAATAGAATCATAATTTCAAATTTAAAAACTAGGGCCGGACAGAAGGCATTGTACTTGACTTGTGGGCTTTATGGTAAATTTCCACCAATGTAGCATACAATTTCTGTCCACTACTTCTACTGAACCATGTGATGAGTTTCTGTTACACAGTGGATGTAAAATTACAGGTAAAATTATAACAGCACTACAACATAGCTGACTTATATTATAAATAAGGGGACAAATTGAACAGAGCCATTATATGGTTTCATATTAAACTGATGAGCCATATTGTTCTAATTTTTATAAGAATGAATTTAGATAAAGCAAATTCTTCTTTTTAATTCAGGGCACAAAGCCAAAGTATAATACAGTTTCAGGAAAAAATGCTGGGTATGTTTCAATGTATCTGTGATGGACTTGTGACCTATCCAGGGTGTTCCCCACCCTTCACACTGACTGCTGGATGTGGGCACCAGTGACCCCCGTGACCCTGAAATGAAAAGCAGGTATAGATAATGGATGGATGGATCTTTCAATCTAAATCCCTATTTAGTGCAAAACTTTACAAAAATTAAAGCTTAAAGGGATCTAAACCTCCTGAAAGCTTTGAACTTCAGCAACATAAAGTCGTTATTCATTTTTGTTGTTGAAGTAAGTGTTTAAAGTGACTCAGTTTGAACAAAAGAAGTGACCTGCACTTGCTGTCATGAATTTGATGGATGCTTTAACATCCATGTAAATGCACTGATGTTAAAAACAAGCCTGTTAACTGCAAGTTTTTATAATGGTTTTAGAACAACAAAATGCTTTCAGATTTGTGGTTAGATTGTTAAACTCATCTGAGCGATATAATCTTACAACTTTCAAGGGATCCACGATTAGTTATAACATTAAACTTTATTTGATAAACATTTATTTTAACTGTAAAACAAAGACTAAAAATAATGTAGCCTGTTTAGTTTGTATTTTTTTTAAAATATATTTTAACACGGACGGGGCCATTTTATTTACACGCAAAGCATTCTGGGTAAATGATGACATGGATAGGTCATTGGTGTAAGGCTACTAGGGAGATATATCCACCCTGAAGGTTAATCTTGGACAATATCTGAYGATCGACTCTTTTAAATGAAACCAGAGAGCGTTGACAGAGAGGAGAAGGTAGAAATGACTCAGCCTGGAACTGAAAATATAGATGGAGGACAACAGAGCTGCTTCATGGAAGAASAACCTCAGATTAGTCTGTTAGCTTTAGCGTTAGCCCCAACGCTATCACCATATATAATTAGCTCAGCGCCACACATTCTCCTCTCATCACTGAGGTCCATCCACATGACAGAGAGGGGAACGAAAAAATGACAGTCTGCAGCTGAAAATATGGATGGAGGACCTCAGTTTAGCTTGTTTGTCACGCTAGCRCCGAGCTAATACATATAAGGCAATATAACGTGGGCGCTAGCGCAAAGGCTAACAGGCTAAGCTGAGGTTCTTCTTCCATGAAGCAGCTCTGTTGTCCTCCATCTATATTTTCAGTTCCAGGCTGAGTCATTTCTACCTTCTCCTCTCTGTCAACGCTCTCTGGTTTCATTTAAAAGAGTCGATCATCAGATATTGTCCAAGATTAACCTTCAGGGTGGATATACAGCAGGTAAAATAAGTATTGAACACGTCATCATTTTTCTCAGTAAATATATTACTAGAGGTGCTAATGACATGAAATTTTCACCAGATGTTGGTAACAACCCAAGTGATCCATACATACAAAGAAATCAAWCCATAAATGTCCAATATTTTTAAAATTTTAGTTTAAAAATTATAAAAACTGAACATCCTACAGTATTTTTACAGTCTTTATTTTAAAGTTAAAGTATATGTTTATCATATAAAGTCTAATGTTACAACTAATTGGGGATCCCTTTAATCCAAACTATTAAACAAATCATCCCAAACATGACAGAATCTCAAACGTTGAAACTGGAACAGGGACTTGTCAACCTGGTTTAAAGTGTAACTAAACCAGGGGTGCCCAAACATTTTCCCTGAGAGGGCCAAAATTAAAAAACTTTTTTCCTGAGAGGGCCTCACCAAAAAGTTGATTTAGGGTTTAGTTACTAAACCCTAAATCAACTTTTTGGTGAGGCACTCAGTTCATCAGAATCAGATTTACAAATATATGAACCTACAGAACAACGTATTCACCACATGACTGGCAGAAGTTGATGAGTTATGTTTCATATCACATTCAATGTTCTTTACACAACCTGCAGCTCATTTGATGCACATTTCTTTAAAACAAAGTTATTATGTCCTACCTTTACTTATAAGTCCATGCACCGCTGAAAATATCCCATCAGAGTCCAGATACTATCACAAGTTGAAAAAAGTTTCTCTCAGGACATCCACACAGTGTCCACCTGTTTCAGAAGAGCTTTAGTCTCAGCTGTGGTGTGGCTCTTATTTACCTGCTGTATCCAAGTCCAGTTTAAAAAATAGTTTAAGCTTTAAAATATATAATCCTCCATTCTCTAACATCAGGTTCAGCTGTGGCTGAGTGGTTAGAGGAGTCATCTTCCACTACGATGATTTGATTCCACCACTATTCAGTTATATTTCGAAGTGGGCAAGACACTGAACCTTCACTGCCTCTGGTGTGTGTCCCATCAGTGTGTGAGTGTGATTTAAAGCACTGATTAGTCTCCATAAATTGATTTATGTAGATGAGCTTTGTAGAGAGACCTAGTGGAGTGCTGTATGAATGAGTAAATGAGGACACAGATTGTAGTGTGAAGCGTTTTGAGTATCCTGTTTGGATAGAAAGGTGCTATAAGTACTGTTCGTTTACCATTATCTCATACAGTCACTGATCCGAATGCAGTTTTATAACCATAAACCTTAACACCTCTGTTCATTTCATATTACCTGGTTATTCCAACTGATATTGTACAAGATTTCTGCAGGAAGTGCTCCATGCTGACCTGGCAACATTTTATGCTTGGCATTGTTTTTAGACAGCAACATTCTGCTTTTAGTCTTGGCCCATTTGGACTAGCAGTTAGCTAGCAGACATTTTAGTCAGAATAAAACCTATCTGCAACTGGTAAGATAATTATTGTCCATGACCATTCTACAGAACTCCACTTCAAAAGATCTGAACTACTTTATCAATATTGGAAACACTTTCTTGGCTCAAGCTAATTGAGCAAAACTCAACTGCACATTGAAGAATTTCAAAATAAGACAACAATCAAACATTGTGTTTTTGAAAGGAATGTAGGACTTTTAAATTCCCAGTCATGGGTTGATGACGACTATCTAATGACGCCAAATACGCTGCTGAACCGTGGGAGCTTAAATCTATCAGTCTGGTTTGTCACAAAGAAGCTTGTTTTGTCCATCAAACGTTGTGCTACGTGTAAAAAATACACAAACACACACGTTTGGTCTACCAGTGTACTCATAAACACACACATACACACACACACAAATAACCCCGGTTTACTCGTCCTCCCGCTGCTCAAGTAACAATGACGTGTCGATCAGGCATCCTCTGAAATATCCAATTAGAGAGTGAGTCAGCTGGATCCGGCTGCGCCTTGACAGGAAGTGGCCTTCGTCCGGGTAGATCTGCTCCGCGGAGAGAGGAACGGAAAACACAAACACCAAGGCCGTTCAAAACAGTTTCTGCACAAAACTTTAAATGAAAAAGAAAATCCATGTTTGTCTTGAGCCTGAGGGGGTTATTGTTCCATTCCACCGCTCAAGGCCGACTTATTCTTTAGCACAAGAGGTAGACGTGCAGAACATGTGTTCCGTGTGCTCAGAATGCCTCCTCATTTATCAGAATCTGAGCAAACTTCAGCAACAAAAGCAGTCTGTGAGAGTGGTCATGTTGGGTTCCTTCACTGATAAATATCACTGGAATGAACATCATTTGACCTGGGCGTGCTGCGCGAGGGACATTTTCATGCATTGAGCTAACGCTAACGCTAGCATCGATATTAATGAGCAGAAAATGGCGTGGCGCCAACAAATGCGTGATAAATGTACAAGTGGCACTAATACTTTGCTATACACTGCAGAGAAAATGATAAAAGATTTACAAGAGCAAAAGGGATGACGTTTCACAGGTAAAACACTGTGCATACTTAACCAAAATTATTGATTTGAACAATAGAACTGTTCAAAAAGCTTCTAAGTTCATGTTGAACTATTTTTAGAATCGACTGTCAAATATATTACTGACATTAAACCCATAAAATATGGACTTTTAATGGAGTACTGACCTGTTAAACTGCATAATATTTGATAAATTATAATGTAGACTCAATGATGACAGAAATGTAACCATTGAGCTGCACAGTGCACATCATAATGTAAAATATTATGGCCCATGTCAAGTTGTCAGACAGACCAGTTTATTCAGATATTATGTTTTCTGCACCTTCTAGAACAAAAGAATTTAAAAAGTGCCAGCTGTGGGTCAAAGCTTGTCGACCTTCATCAACTGCTACAATCTGCAGCTGAAGACTAATTATTTGTGATCAAAATGAATTATTTGAGCAATTCTTTATAACCTGAAATAATTTATACTGATGTATGTGCAGATTACAGAAAAGTTATTTACTTTTTAAAAGTTATTGACTTAAAAACTGTCAAACAGCATAAACAGATTTTGTATTGTATTGTATTGTACAGTTTTGTAATTTTATAGTTATTTTATTGAAGAAATGTTTGATGTTAAACATGGATGGTTATAAGTGCATATTTATGTACATATAAAGTCAAATGAAAAAAATTATATAAATACATTTAAGATGACTTATTTATTAATTTTAAATACCTAAGGTTCAGGTCTATTGATAAATATATGCAAGAATGTCCAGCTGGTCAGCTATGGGGGGCCAAGTGTAAAATAATATGTAAAAAAAATCCACTAACATTTTTCATTATTTAGCTTACTTTTTGAGTGTTAAAAATTTTTCGCTAACATTTTATTGCTATTTAACTCACTGTTCTTACATTTAGCTAATTTTTACTAAATGCAAAATTTAAATGTAAATGTAAAAAAATATTAAATGCTTTAATCTAAATGTAAAAGTTAAACGTTAAACGTTGAAGTTCACATTTAGGTATTTTGGAAGGGAACGCAGCCTTTGGGCTCATGCCATGACATCATCATCCTGAGACAATAGTAACCATTAGTGCTCCAGTGCAGCTAAAGCTTCCCTACAAAACATCAAACTTGAAGTTCACTTCACTTCACTTCACTTTATTCATTTCATTTGTAACATAAATTAAGAAAGTACAAAAAAAAACATGCAATCACAATAAAATCAAATAAAATTAAAGGCAGCAGAAGAATAAATCTTATAATATCTGCATCTTTTTTATACCCAAAATTTGTTCAAAAGAAAATTAAAATACAACAAAAATCAAAACAACTTAAAACACTTAAAAATGAACTAAAAACAAAATTTAAGACACCAACTCAAACAACAATTAGCTTGAATTCACTTATGCTTCTCCATATTCTTCAGAAAACTAGTTTTTATCATTCTCTTTAATATATACAAAGATCTGGCATTTTTAACCTCATCTTCCAGACCGTTCCACAATCTTATTCCCTGGATTAAAGTGGATCGCTCCTTCAGGCTCGTATGAAACCAGGGTTTGACAAACATTTTGAATCCTTTAAGATAATAACAGCTCTCTCTCTCTCTCTTTTAACAAAATTTACTTGAATGTTTGAAGGTAAAACACCTTTATGAGGTCTGTACATCAACAGTAAAATATTATAATCGACTGACTGAGTTATGGCTGGTGTCTGAGCTGCACTTCAACCTGCTGGACCACAGCTACAACCCATATTGGTTTTTATGAACACATTTTACATTTAGGTTTTAAATATTATCTTTAGCATTGTTAGAAGCATTAGGAGAAGTTAGCATGGGATAACCAGAATGATGTCATCATGATGCAATGAACAATGGCCGCTGCTAGTCACTGCTAGCCGCTGCTCAACGTTCAAATAAATTAATAAAACTTCAGTCTCAGAATTAAGACCGTCTGAAATAAATTTCTCCTGATTCAAAGTCTTTTACAAAATATCTTGATCTGAATATTTTCAGTGAGCACTCCTTACCTGCATAGTGTAGTTAGCTCCAATCTTTATTAGGTGTTTGATGAGCTCTGCTGAGTGCTGGAAGTGAACATTTGCTGCAGAAACAGAAGAAAAATGCAAATAAATGTCAGTGAGGTTAAATTTACAGCTCAGACTCTGAGGTCAAGATTTAAAAAAATCTACACTGAAGAGAGGATAAACTGTCGGCCTTCTACTCTTCTCTCATTTAGCTTTTTTCATACACTTTAACATGATGACAAAAGACTAATATTTGGACTCGTACGTGTGTTTTAGGTAAGGAGGATGGAGACGTACCGTCAGCTGTGCTGTGAGCCAGAAACAGACTACCTCCCTGAAGGCCTCTCATATTTGGCAGCACTTTGGAAGCCTGAAGACAAAATAGTCAGTGAAATTATTTAAATTACATATAAATGTCATTAAAAATCCTGGAACTATTCAAAAAAGTTTTAAAACTCAGAAGATAGGTTATAGTTGGTATATTCTCATTATACTGATATCCTGTGCTGCTGAAAATACTTTAAAAGTGCGAACATTGGAAAACATTATTGGGGTTTTGCATGAACTCGTATTGTAAGGTGTTGGGCTCAGAGTCTGTGTTGGGAATGACACATCACATTTGAGACTTGTGCTGGTAAAAATGAGTGACAATGAGAATTTTTTCAATAGCAACTCAATAGTATTTTCAAATTTTCCATCTCAAAAAGCATCATAATCAGTGATGTGTGGTCACTAGCTGCAGGTCCTCATCTGCCTTCATGGAAAAAGAACAAAAAAGACAATAAAACACGTGACATGGTTATATTTATCCTATGTTTTGTATTGTATTATAAAACCAATGTTCTGTTTAAGTTAAACAATTTTGAACATTATCTTCTTTAAAATTGCTGAAATTTCTATTTTCATGGACAACACCAAGTTCCGCCTCCACTTGGATTTCACAATCCCATTTGAACTGCTACTGTGTGTTTGTGTAACATGTTCTGTGAGCTGAAACAGCTGTGAAGAGATGAGGACGGCAGTTCAGTGTCGGTCTAGATTAAAAACTTGCTGCAATGAAATATTAACTGAAATGCAACAACATGTATGGATACTGGAGCTAAACCCAAATTAATAATCTTTTTTTATCATTTATATGTAACTTTTTTTTAATATTACTGAATTTTGTGAAGTTATACCGTGAAAAGCCAACTGAAGGCATGTGATATAAAATGTAACGCCATGGTAAGGGGGCAGTGCGTGGTTATACAAACATACGTCATCTGGAACTCGTCTCATTTCACAAGACCACAGCACTGACCACTGAGCTACCACAGTCTTTTGTTCATGAAAATGCCAGTTTGAAAACCTATTTTTTATTGGTTTGGAGTTGTTGCACTGGGAATTCCAGCTGTATGTATTTAAAAAGGAGAATCCTCAAGATTTGTGTCAGTTTCAGAGGAAGTTATGGGGATCAGAACAAAAAGGTGCATTTCTGAAGACATGCCTGTTGGAAAACTTCAACTGAATGGTAGATTTGGAAAATTTATGTTACTTCAGTTACCAGAATCTTTAGATGGGGTCGTTATGGACTCATTTTTACGCAAATCATCTATCTGAATGTAAACAGTACATAATTTTGGCAGAAAATATCTTTATAATTGCAATCATGATCTAATGTAATCTGTCCATGTTTTGTGCATTTAAAGTAGTAATTATATATATAT